TGACGTGTACACATAAAACGAAGTAACGCTACAAATGTGTTGTTTATTACGTTACGTGGATACGAAGACAATGGAAAGTGTTAATGACAGCAACACAATGGAGGACGTGATTACGTTTAGACAATGGTCACTACAAGGTTTCCTTGCAAAAATTGTATCTTTAGGCTTCTTCCCTTAGGCGGTAGTGTCGAAAATAAGCCAAAAACTTTCGCAGGGGTACAAAAATAATTTATGCCGACAGAAAAGGCATGTCTCATGTTTAACATCAAAGGCCACAGATGGGGGCTTAATAGAAAAGTGAGTTTAATAGAGAGGGGGCTTAATAGAGAAAAGAGTTTAACAGAGAGGGGGCTCAAAACAGAGGGGGGCTTAATAGAGAGGGGGCGTTGTAGAGCTTTAACTGTATTTTTCTAATACGAGGCAGGTTTTTAGAGTTACCTGTGTAGATTCTGGGACGAATAAATTAGAGATTGATGAACCACGTGGTTTATGTCTTGGTGAATTCAACTATTTCTTGAATTTTCTGCTTCGGGTACTAATGTTTCTTCATTTTTTCAGTTAGTTTCTTATAGCTAGTTTCTTAGAAAACGAGTTAGTTCTGTGTTGTCAGGGGCGTAGCTAGCGGAAAGGGTGACACCTCCAATTCTCCATGAGTTTGTAGTAAACTTTCAGTTTGTGCAAAAGATTCTTGGTTTGTCGGTAAAATCGTCTATAGGTAGGTGAAACAGGGCCCCAGCCATGGATTTCAAAAAGGGGGGCTAAAAAATAGAATAATTTTCCTAAAAATGTCGCCATGGTTGGGCGACGAATAAAACTCCAGTTTCCAGAGTCTCCAGAATGGCCTCAAATCGATTCCATTTCACTAATTGTGAAATTTTGTGAAAATCGCAAATTTTTTAAGAGAATTTTGGTTATCTCTCGAATGTAATAACAAGGAAAGTGGTCCAGAAGTGTTACGGCACAGCCAGAATTCTGATAATGGAAACTATTTCTATAACGGTAACACAACTCGCTTAAAGAAGATTTACTGCACGCTCGTAAGTTGACACAGTTATAAAGAGTAATGTCTCATTGTTTGCTCAATACAGTAATTCTATGAGAATTCCATTTGCCGATTTTTCTTTGAAACCAAAGAAAATTTTTTACCCTTTTTCCTGAAATCAAGTAGTTGAAATAAAGCCAAACAAAGAAAAATTAGAAACTTTATTAAGATTCCCATATCATACACCCTGTTTTCTATTTTCTAGTATGTCCTAGATATAAGACTTAATTGAACCCCTTTCTCAGAGATATTGAAGACACGGGTGCTTACACGCGACAATAAGAGTGGACCCGCCGGGAATGATGTGTGTTCCCGTGTATGCTTACTCAAAGAGGGCGTTTCCGAAGAATCAGAGATCGCGGCAAAGTAAAATTTTCCATGACCCCCATTTTTCGTGTGGCAGTCAAGTTTAGTTTTGGATCCGCGTCTACAACAGTAATCTTGAAAAATTTAGCCGGTGTTGTATCTTTACTTAATCTTGGTTCTATTATATAGCAATCAATTTTAGTACACAACAGGGAATTCAACGAAAGTTTTATATGGGATTGGAAAAAACAATTTATAAGCAAGTAACACTTTGTACGTAAATTGTTTTGATTTTGCAAAAAGTGGGGGCCATGGCCAGGGCCGTCGAGAGGCAGCTCCGGCCAAAAGGTGATTCCCAAAAATTGACCTCCTTAAGAAAATTTCCTGTGGCCACGCTCTTCAGTCTCCCGCAGAATAAGGGAAACACCCTTTTGAGGTACAATTGTTGAGAAAGTTTTTTTAAGGATTTTTACAAGAATGCGCAAAAAATTTTCACGTGAATCAAGGACATGTTTTCTCTACGAAAGCCTTACAGGCGTTGATTCCTTATAAGAGCTGAAATAGTAGCTTTTTTGCATTGTCAATATATCCTGCTACTTTGTTACGGGCCCCATCGGAGCACGGGCCCCGGGCCTTCTTGCTTCTTCTAACCCGCCTCTCGAAACCTCTGGCCATGGCCCCCAGTCCTTCGTCGTCGGGTTGGAGGCCCTTCTCTGGCCAAAGGCCTAGGCTTGTCAGAGTCACAGGGATACAGTTCAACCACTGTTCAATCCTCATTGGTTCGACCTGACCTGCAGTCGCAGCCTGACTCGCATGACAAACGAACAATAAGGAGATGCCACTGTCTGCTCATAGGGTGCACTGGTTTTCTAGCAATGTTATTGGTTAATTTGCAAGTAAACGTCATTTATTGAAATATCCATGGTATAAAAGAAAACCAACAAACAGCAATTACCTTCGTGTGTAGTAGTCGATCTTGGCATGTGCTAAAAATTTGCAACACATTAACATTTGCATCTGGTAAAATTTTATAGCACAGAAGACGAATAAGTCTAGAATTTTGATTTTATTTTTTAACCCCGTAACAAGTGCATAGCTAATTGAATTCAACTTTAGAGGGCTAATAAAAATATGGCTATAAAAAGGCGCTTGTCCAGAATAGAAAGAAGCCCTAATACATAATCGAAAACAATCAATTAAAGATTGTAAAAGTCACCGTAAATTTGAGAAAACTACATGCCACCACTGTGTCAACCTCAGTTTGGATAGGAAGAGAACATGATCTTTCAAGTTCTGTTAAGATTTTTCCCCACACCAATCTTGCCTTGAACTGCAAAGAGGGAGGCTAATCGAGAAAGAAAATTTTCCTTACTAAATATCAACAATTTACACTCGTAAAAGTAAGGTTGCCACACCCCCACCTTTGCATGACCCCTGCCAAGTCAGCCTGTCTCACTTTGTGAAATCAGACTCATAGGGAACAAAGGAAGCAGACAGAGTGGACATTCCCCATTTCAGCAGCATCGCTTATGACTGGTTCATCGAAGACAAAGCTTTTGTTAACCAAAATAGATTTCGATTCTTGATATAAAAGCAGTTGAGCAGCAGGTTCAGTTCAATTATTCTGTGGTCGAGCGGTTAACTGTCACCAAACTTCTGGCTGCAAAGCAAGATTTCTTAAACTTTCTTTGGGTTTTTGGAGCACAAAAAATAGAAACCTTACAGCAAGTTTCACAGCAAAATTTCGTCTTGAAAAATTATCGTGTAGGGATCGATATTCAACAATGAGAAGGCACAAGACTTTCGTCTCTCTTTATCCTTGGCCAAATGATAGTGCCGGGGCTGTCGCTAAAAGGGCATGTGAGGGATGTGGCACCTCCTTTAAAACGATTCAATTGCATAGAGGGGCCTTTTGCATAGAGGGGCCATCTAGGGATGCTTACAGTACTGTAGGGCAGAAAAATGTAGAGGGGGGCCATAGCGCCTCCTCTATCGTTTTCGCTTCATTTGTTTTCGTTTGCATGCCTCCTCAACAGGGCCGTGGCAAGGCGTGCCTTGTTTAGGGGGGGGGGGGATCGGTCCGACTACAAATTTAACCTGGTTAAAAAGTAGTTATCTGAAATTCTTTAGTTGCTGACACAAACCTCTTCATTAAATTTTGTCAATTTAACTCTGTATCTTTTAATTCGCAACCTCCTTTTTGTATAATAATAACAGACGTTCCTAATAGTTTTTGTCAAATCTGTATATCGAGACAGGCAAAGGATATAGTTACAGTCACTACCCGGAGTTGGTTGCCGCCGAAGGAGGAGGAAATTTTTGAATTTTGATCCCTGGAAAATGCACTCTTTTAGGCAAATTTAAATAAAGCAATCCACCTAATCCTATTGAAAGGTTGTTATTTTTGCAAACAAATTGAACAGCAGATAAAAACGACTGGTAAAAATCTGGAACTCATTGTGAATTGCAGTTGATGCTTAAAAAAGGCCTGGATTTTTGGATGTAGTACCAACCAAAAACTTCTAAGTCATTAACACTTAGTTTGTTTACCTTCATCCATATCAAGAAATATCATACTTAACCAACCGAGTAACTACCTTTGCTTTATTATTTACTGATTTTAAGACATGAATGTCTCGAAACTACCTAAAACGTTTTTTCACTGAGCGGATTTTGCCTGAAATTTCCTATTTTGATACTATTGGAGGTGTGACACTCCCACACCCCCGGTCGTGACACCCCTGAGTCCTATATACCAATTTCTCTCCATTTTCTCTAGGGTTGAATAATCTTCCAATGTTTACCTGTTTCTTAAATAGAAAAACCCTAAAAATAAAGATTTTCACGTAGTAAAATTTTGCCAGCATACCTTTCAGTTATCAAGAGGGCTATCGTGGTCACACTTAAATGCAAATGTAAAAAAGTAAAATCGGTTCAATCAAAGAATTGATCCTGACAGATATTAGCCATGATATCTTAGAACTGTCGCCAAAAAAGAGGAGGGGTGCAGACCCCTTTCAAAAAGTAGAAAGGGGCTGAGTCCCCCTCTTCTACAGTTTTAATGCTTAGTATGCAATTTTCAAAGTTGTCAGCAAATAATAGATTGATCATCCACTTCGTTGGCAAAGGGAACCTGGAAACCCCCTTGAGCACAATAGCTAGCGACGGACCTGTTTAGTGCCAAACGTTTACTTCAGGCTATGATGTCCGTGTTGTTTCATTTTTATAAATGTATTAGCCCTATCTTTTGCCCCAACAGTATTCTGTATCAGTTCGTATAGTAACCGATCCCATTGTTAGAAATATATCCCCTCACAAAGTACCCAAAAAGTACTTTTAATTCATTTGAGGCCGAGGGAAAATCTCTTCCTCAAAGTGGCAGTGCCTTTACGGGTCCTCTAGTATCTGATGACATCGGGCAGTGACTTTTCTTTAACTTCCTTTTTCCCGATTGGTTTCTTGCAGACTTCAAAGACGAATTCAAACCTGATCCAAATTCACTTCGGTCAATCTTGCAAGATACTGGCGTGGACAGAACCCCTGTTCGAGGAACCAGTACTTTCGGTCCAATGAAGAGGATGACATTCAATGGAATTTCACGTAGAAAGCCATATAGTACGGCGAAAACCCCGGTAAGCTACATATCAGAATATTTAAGAATATACTCATTTTTTTCTACTGGTGTTGAATTATAATGCATTCTTCATTACACTTTGTTTTGAAAGCTTTAAAACTCCGATGGATGATCTATGAATGAAAACCACGAGAACTTAAAGGTCAGGTTCAGTGTGTTAGTTATTTAGATCGTGGCAAGCAGGGTCGCAAGGAGAATTTATGGGCCCGGGTCAGGACAAAAATTAAATTATAAGGCATGCCTAAGGCAGACGCTTCTAGGAGGTATGGGGAATGCTCCCCAGAAATATTTGAAAATTGTGGTTGCCTAAACTGCTTTGGTGGCAATGGCGAAGATAGAGGGGTCAGAGGGAGCAAAAACACCACTGTAGAGCTAAACTGCTATTTGTCGGAAAACCTCTGCTGTTTTCAAAAACTTAACATGGTTGTCTATGTTTATCTAATTGCTATGTTTTGATGGAAAAAATTTGAATCTAAATAAACATAAGAATATTCAATATATCAAAAGATCTCATTTTCAGTTCAGAGGTCGTTATGTTATGTTGCAATTTATGAGAAAAATATAGAAGCTTGTTAGATTTTTGTCGGAAATCCATGTTTCTCACCCGTCCTGTGAATTAGAAAGAAAAAGAAAATAACAGGTACAAATGATATGTTTAAATAACTGAGAATAGAAAACAAGTGGGCTAGGCACAAGATTTAGGGATATTTAATGGAAGAGAAATATATTATCACAAGTTCATTTAATACTTTAAGCAACTGTTTATTCTGTTTCCTTCCATGTGGCACTGTTTCATTCAACCTCGCACTTCTTAAATACAATCGAAATACAATATACGCATCAAATATCATACTTACGATACCTGATCTGCTGTTTGATATATTTTGAGCATAACTGATATCTTAGCACCATAATGCATGAAAATGAAATTTTCTTAGAAATTCTTAAAGTTTGGAAAATGAAAAACGTTCAATTCGTTAACTAAATTGGACCACAACCGGCACACTGTTGCAAATAGATGCGAATGCCATAGTGTAAATTTGTATGACATACATATTGCTCTGTATGTTGCCCTGCAATCACATTGTTAGTAACATTCAGAAGTTTTTGAACTCCTTCAGCCCAAGCTCATAAAGATGAGAAATTCTTAACAAAATTATATTTAACAATGAGGCAGTCAACGACTTCATGGACCTTTGTCATTATTGTCTCTAAAATTATGTTATGTTGATGTTGATGGAGAGGCTTGATTATTACTTAGAAATTTTTTTCGATTGAGTTATTATTTATTTGCCCCTTAAGCCAAGAGTCCCCGGGTCAGTGACCCCCCTGACCCCCCTTTCCTCAGCTTTTACCGACCAATTCATCTCAAGATTCATTTAGATTCTGTAAAAGAGGGGGCATTAAATAGCAGCGCTACTAATATGACTAGGGAGACGTAACCCTCTTGTTCTCTGCACGATCGATTTTTCATTCTTCTGAATTTGAAGAGAAACTGTTCAATGTTAATTTTTCAAAGTATAGAGCCAATGCGGGATTATAAGAGAGGCGGGTATTCAAGAGAGAACTCGGTATTTTGGAAAAGTATCCTTTGTAATTTTTTTGAAACTGCCTTTACGTAACCAATGTTAGTTATGTACGTTCTCTCGGAAATTCGCGTTTTCTCTTGGTAAAAGGGGGCTTTCCTACAGTAAAATGAGCGTGACATGAAATTCTCAATGTTTCCCCAAAACTGTCTAGTGACTAGCCCCGCCAGTTGGGACCATTGATGCCACATTGAGTATAGGCGATAAAAGTTTTCCATTTAAAAGAAACTGCAGCGCCCATCAACATCCCCCCCCCCCCTCGTACCCCTATAGCCTTCAGATAGTAAATAAAGGAAATATCCTCGTACTCCTTGTTTACGCTTTTCAAAAATTGCTTCGCTGTTTATTTCCACGTCATAATTAGATCAATCCTGCCTCGGCTTGTTCTGTGAGCCCGCATTGTTATTTATGGGAATCACCATGTGACGTATAGCAGTGAGTGAGAGCTCCCTTGGGAAGTGAACGCAAGGTGCCAAACAAAGATTGGTTTGCTATGTTTCACGGACTTCCCTTCCAAACGCTTAGCGCTTACAAAAATGATATTTAAATACCTTTGATCAAAGTAAAAACTTTTATGAAAGCCTTTGATCACATCAAGCCAAATAAAGCTTTGTATATGACTTGCGTGACAAAAAATAATTTGAGGCAGGTCTCCCTGTTGTTTTGTTGCACCACAAGGCGATTCCCGCGCGAACCGTTGCACCACAAGGCGAACCGTTGGATATTGCAACGTTTGCTTTTAAGCCTATGAGGTAATTCAGTTGCAAAGTGATAGTGCAAGGATAAGCATCAAAGATTGAGCTGATCGCCTTACCTGCAGACGTTCTCTGTAATAATGGGAATGGCAAAAGCATCAAAATGCAAGCGGTCTTCCGTTAAGGTAATTTTGGTATCAATTTACTTTGCAACTTAATTTTTCCATGAAAGATCTTTTTCTATAGGTATATCCGTTGCTTGATGCCATCTCCTCAAAATGAATACTTTAACGAGACACCGCAGAGAGATATGAAAAGTGTGGGGGGGGGGGCTAAAACTGAATAAATATAAGCTTTACTGGTGGCCCTTCTCTTAATACTCAACGTTTTTGGCATAAGGGGGTTGGCACCCCAGCCCCCTGGTCCGCAGTGCCGGAGTAGGGTATGTTCAGATGGTTCTATCGTTACATATCTACTTACTTTAAATAAATGCATGTCAATTGTAGATGTTTTTCTTTTGAGGCAACAGTTCAGTTTGTATTGAAACTGAAGACTGACATTTTTTAGTGACGCAAAATGTAGGGGTTGAGGATAGGGGATGATTCAATTCTTGATGACACAGAAAATTACACGAAAAACTATTGGTTTCGAAATGTAAAACAATTATTCCTTTTTAAGAGTATTTTGTTTTAATGTCATAATTATTATTGGCTTTGAGTTGGCAAAGTGTTAAAATTGTATATTATAAATATCGTTTAGTCTGATATTATCGTACTAGGATGACCAATAATTACTAAAACTACTTGTACTATAACGCCAAAACCTAGATGCCCAGTTTAGAAACTTTTTGTACTTAGTGCTGATCCTCTTAAAAAACGTGTATGCTCTGAAGACCGTCAGACGAAAATCTTTAATTTTCATACATTGGTCAGGAAACAGATAGAAAAGACAAAGTGAAATTATGCTGTTTTTATCGCAAAATCTGTATCCAAAATATTCACACAGGTCATTACCGTTTTCACTCGAACCGCCTGTTATCACTTTCGTGTAGTTCTGCGACGTGTTTCTTTCCTTATTTCACGTCTGAGTCTGAACAAGCTGTTGCAATCAACTAGTGCATTCGAAGTTGCTGGCAAAGGGTCCAGGGTAAAACACGAGAACACTGAACAGATGCATTTTTGAAGTAGCATTTTTCACCCATAAAGATCCTCAGCATTCTGGATCGTACAATGGCGTACTAATTCACTAAATGGGAAGCGAGGTGTTTTGTAAACTTTTTCGCACCCATTTATTTTTTGAGGAAAATTGAAAAAAAATTATCTGGGCTTGCACTCACAACAACCACAGCCAATCAGGTTACGCCACCCTATGTCATTTTCCCCTATTCCTGTTTCCTTAGGTGCAGAGGAAGACTAACGGGTCGTTTTGTTAAATAACTATTTATTTTTCTTGTGTCTTATACTAGTGTTTTTTCCCATTCAGGAAAGAAGAGGCTCCATTTATCACAATGAAAATTACGAAAAATTCAGGAAACTCACATTCGAGCAACGATTGTCTGTGATAATAAATTCCCGGCCAGGATTAAATGGGACGCGTGGGATAATCAACCATCCCAAGGAGGGGCAAACACGGAATTCATTTTACTTGTCGCGACAGGCTGCAGCAGCTGAAAACCATACAGCGAAGGCTTTAGATAAAAAGGATGTACCAATAGCTACATCAAAATCTGAACTAATCGACTCATCGAAAGAAAATCTAGACGCTCAAGTTACGCAGCATGAACGTCCAAAGCCCAAGAGTGTGGGACAGCTCTGCGAGATAAATTACATATCGCCAAGAAATCAGTCGAGTGCATCCCAAAATCACAATGGAAGCCATAAAAAATCTCCAAAGAATTTTCGGTCTCCTTTCTCTCAAAAAGTTCCAACACCAAAAAAGGGTGTTTTGGCGAATTGTACTCCTCGCAAATCGGGCCCTGCTTTAAGTCAAGAACCAGTTCGCTTTACTGCCGAAGCGCGTTGGAATATACAACATGGCTTGCCGTTGCCTCCAAAGGAAAGAAGATATGAGATTTTAAGCTCAACCAAAGTATCAGCAAACACCCCTAAAGCATACCCAGGAACTTCTACAGATTTGACTTCTTCTGGAAAGAATAAGAAATCTGTGCGCTGGGCAGATGTTCTCGACGGTCGAAAATCCGACGCCACCCGGCAACTAAACTTCGAGGCCGAGGTAAGGATTAACTTTTCGTTTAGTTTTCGAACCGTTCATTTTGTTTTCTCTGGTATAATAGAAATGGCAATGAACTGTGCCAAGAGAGAACTTTTTTCTTTAAACAGGCAGCTTGGAAAGCAATTTCTGTATATGTAGTTGATAGCTTTACCCTGTGTAAATAATTAAAAATAAAATGAAATGTCCGAAGGAGCTGGGGATCCTTTTGTTTTGGAATTTATCGGCAGGGCATGAACAAATTCCTTTCTCCCTGCGACCGGAGAAAAACCATGCATAAATTTCCTGCAAGAATGGGAACATAAACGAAGAAAAGGGTCAGGTTTCCAACACCCGTCACCAGTTTTTTTGTAGATGAAAGAAAAAGCTACATCATAAATGTTTAAACAATTTTACTACTACCACAAAATCAATTTCTATTTTGGTGACTGAAAATTATTATTTATCCATGAACGTCTAGATTGAACTAGAATGGGCTTTGCTACAATATTAACATTCTAACTGGTAAGATTATTTTTAAGCTAGATGAAAGACTGTAATTTTTCATCAAGCAAATATTTTTAAAACATTCTCACGGATTCTTAGGTAGGATTATCAATTTAACTTGTACAAGGGACCTACATAAGATATATTACTTTTGTCTTAATGTTTTTTCCTTTTGATGAACATGAAAGAAACAAAGGTTCTTCTTGCAAAAGGGTATTTTGTGAAATATTTCCTTTAGAGCTTTATGCATGAAAAAATTTCCTGCGACCGAAGGGTCGCATGGTCGGCTGGGTATTCTGGCCCTGTTTATCGAATTCGTTGAAAAACTGGATTGAAACTTTCTAAAGCAATAGTTCTGCTCCGATAGATTAAATTTCTTGTATACCTAAATTAAGATTCGTCGGAGACGTTTCGCCCACCTCCCCCCGCCCCCCTCCTCAGCCCATTATTCAATGCCACGACGCCCCTGATATGCTCTTTTATTCAATTTGCTTCGTGTCAAAATTCCTTCGCAAACAAAGACGAGGTAAAATGTTTGATGAACAAAGAGATTAACTTTTATGGAAGGTATAGACCGATCTCAGGGGAGCTCATCGATGCTACAAATTTGTTGGCTTGCCATCAGATAAAAAGGCTGCAATGCGCACGGAAATGCGTGCGTTCTTTTGAATGGCTTTCGAGCCCTTTTTGTGATGCAATGGTATCACCAAAGTCTTGGCTTTGCCTATCAGAAAATTGCTCTATTTTGCCTTCATCGTTTGCAAGATTCCTGATATAGCTGTATTTGAATTTCAGGTAGTTGATCCAGCGACCACCCTCTCGAAGCCACCTACATCAACTGCAAAGCCTGAGAAAGAAAGCATTATTTCCAGGATTTTCCGCAGTCTGCAAAATACCCATAATAGCGACCATGGCCCTACCACGAACACTCCAGAAGCAACACGTGTGACCAACTCACATACAACACCAAAGGTTACTCATACAATCGACAACAAAACTGAAAGCAAAGCCATACCAAAGCCGTTTCAAGGCGCAAGTGTCGTTTCGGATGAAAAACATCATCTGTCTAAAGACACTGCTAACTGGTACAGTGCTACTCCGCGTAACGACAACGCCGAACACAGTAGACAACCGCTAACCCATGCTCAAACGCCAAAAGCCAATGCTGATAGTTCTTTTTCCCAACGCACGCCTCAGGCAGAGTTTGGTTTAGACCTGCCAGTGATCAACTGTCCAATGATCAAACGAAGTTGGGCACGTACACCCCATGCCAAAGAGGAAGAGGAAAGGAAAAACAGGGATAATTTGAACATGGACAATACAATTGATTACAATTCTACTTTCTCAGCGACTGCTGCTGAAACTCATTTAGCAGATTCTAAAAAGACTGACACTAGTAGCACCAATTGTCTGAAAGGAAGCGACTCCGACTTGTTTGCGCCAGACGAGTGGAGGTCCAAGTTTGATATATCAAAAGGAATTTTACATGTTATCGATGACATCAATAAATGGAACATTCAAGAAGACATGAAAAAGGTGTGTTCATACAAAGGCAAACTTTCAAAAACTCCGGCTGGTAGTGCACATAAATCGAAAGATGACGCACCTCTCTTACCCTCATTTTCTTCTGATAACACAAATCGAAATGCAGATACATTCAGTGAAACCTCTTTTTCCCCTGTTCACCCTCAACGGCAGCGTAATAGTCCCATTTCTGCTTCTATTGTACCGCTCGCGTCAACGATTTCTCCCTCGCCAAATGTAAGTTCTTCAAATAATGGTTCTGGAGACGTGCTACTTAACTATCTAGCTAAATTACCAGAGCTGAAGAATCACAATGTTACAAAAACATCAGAAAGTGGTATGATCTATTCAACTGCTTCTTTACGAGGGAATCAAGGGTTAGGTGGTGTTTCCAGTTTCGCTGGTGCTACTAAAGGAAAAGAAATCGTTTACAAAAATGCTGATTCATCGCCGACGACTTGCGGTGTAAATCAGAATAGTGCAACAAAGCCAACTTCACAAACCCAGAATAGCCAAGACAGTACTTCACAAAAACGTCTTGACAGATTCATATCAAGTAGCAGGATCGCTGCCATAGTGGAGGAGCATCTTCGCCCAGTTCGCTCAGTGATTGACAATGCATTTGCTTTGGAAATCAGTCAGTACCAACAGTCAGCAGTTGAGCCTTCCATACGTGAAAACTCTGACCAATCTGTGTCCCGGATAGATGCAGCCTATTTCTCCAAAGCCAACTCAGATGTATCGAGCCAGTCTAATGGACATACAGAGGGGCGCTTACATTCATCGGCGGGCAGTGCATTCAGAAAAATCTCAAAAGACTCGAATTTCTCTCTAAAAGAGCGGCCTTATGATAGTTATTATGTTAACATTCTGAAAGCTGAAAACGAAATCAGTGCTGAATACTCGAGTGTCAAGATACTGGACACTGAGGTTGCTTTTCACACCAGATATCTGGAAGTAGCCCAACGACTTGGCGGAAGGAGAATTGAAACAAGAGATTGTCATGATCCCGTCTTCAAGATCCTGACTCTCGGCGATGCTTATGTAAGTACATGTAATATCATTTAATAATATAATTTAACAGTAGCAAGACACAATACAATGGGAAATGTTGAAAAGATCTGTCGTGTATTTGTCCAGTTTCACTTCAGGATCAAGCACTGTTTCTTTTAGAGGATGGCTCTTTTCAGAAAAAATATTCCTCATGAAATATTAGTAATTCGTAATTATTACTGCTTGCTTTTCCTAAACAATTGTTAAAAAAGGAACTCAATGTCAATTAAATGTATAGAAAATTGTTATTTGTTTAAATGTATTTTGAATGTTGTTTTTCGCAATATGCATTTTTATCTTCCTCGTATACAACGTGATATTTCCACAGCTTGGTATCCTAACCGTGCATTTTTTTGTTACAGCATTTCTTTCCGATTGATGAGCAATGATTTCACACAAAACTGGGGATCTGTCACAGCTGTACAGAACAGTAGCAATAGGCTGGCTTATGAAGCTGAAAAGATTTTTGTAAAAGAAGTAAGATTTGACTTTACAAAAAGACAATATATCTTGTAAAGGCTGTTAAGTAGATTGTGTTTCCTTGAGATTTCCTTAAGTAGATTGGGTTCTAATTTGTCAATCCTGGATGTTAACTGTAGACAGGGTCGCGGAGAACATAACGGCTCTGAGGGCCTCAAAGGTTTTTTGAGGGGGAGGGGTGGGGGAACTAAACGCAGGATTGATTTTTGTAGGGTTCAAGTACATTTTTTCAATTATTCGAGAGCCCCCCCCCCTACCCACCCCCCCCCCCCCCCCCCCGACTTCTGCGACTCCTGACTGTAACTACTAGTTTGCCAAAGATTGTTATTGCAAATTCTAGTTGTAGTCTAAGCCATGATTAACCCAGTAAAGACATTAATTCATTTCTTAGACAGTTGGGTTAAAACAGGTGCATTAGCCTTTAAGATTCGTGACATTAAATGGTCAATAAGCTGTGTTGATTTAGTGACTGTAACTGTACATAGTTTGTCAAGAAAATTAAATTTAAGTAAAAAACTGCTTGCTTTGTTCTTCTATCTGCACATAACAAGGTTGCATATTCTGTACAATTATCTAAGTTTTTCGAGACCTATTGAGTCAACCAACCGCAGCTAAAAAATTGTCTCCAAATTTTTTGGACAGAACATTATATCTATTTCCTAATCTACAATTTTACTGATCGTCTTATGTTGGAACCAGCTGACAGACCTGTGTAAGAAACAATCGTTTCTTCGAAAAAGAAACCTCTGAATCGAAAAATGGCACCGATCACATTTACAATTTAGAATACAGCAATTTTGAGAAGAGAGTTACACCTAAGTTGCTTTATTCATCAACCAGAGTTAACTTTGATGAATATTTGAAGATAAACACGATATTTTTACAGCACCAAATCCAACGACACACCAACTAGGCATTGATACCCAGAATTTTATACCTAGATAACTTAAATTTTCCTCGAAAACTAACTAATGGGTTCGGTAACTTAACTTACACCCTTTAAAAATAAATACCAGAACAGAAAACTGTCTATATCTCTCGATAACAAGATGTTTTCTACTTGCTTTAAAAAGCCATTTGCATAGTGTAAAAAACAAGGATAAATGCATGAGGTAGATACAAGAAATTTTATCCAATATTATACATTTGTTATGCTAAAGATTGCCTCTCTTCTCCTCTAAGGGGGCCCCTGCTGTATCATGATGGTATTCAACTCCTCCAGGGGCCAATCTGGATTACCAAATACCTTTTTACAGTTCATAAAAATGTTCCAGTGTCCATTTTTCTACTCGATGACGTAATTTGGATGAACAACGAGATACGGGTTGTCTTCATCCTCGGCTGGAACTGCTTCTTCATCTGTTGCTTTTAAGGGTTCCTTCAGTGCCAAGAGAACGCCATCCTATGAAAACAAACAAGCAATTAGACCACCAACAAATCTACTGGCATTCTGACTGTCGAGAGAAAGACTGTCGAGTTCTAAACTATAGAAGAATAAGGTTGACTTGAGGCAAGAAACAAATCGAAGATATTAACATGCAAAAACAAACATTGTGCATTATTGCTGACGTCATAAACCAGGTTAGCAAAATTTTTTGAGCTAAAGTACAAAAAGACCAACACAGGCAACATAATAATCAAGATTAAGCCCCACGTAGGTAATTATTGACTTAAAAAGAATGTTTAAGCTTATTTAAACTTGTATTCAAACTTGTATTTAAACTTGTATTCAAATTTATAATAGATGTAGCTCAGCGTGTTGTACGTCTAGTAATAAGCAAAAATTAATACAAATAAATAACGACTTTCTACATGAATGAAGTAAAAAGTATGACATTCCAAGCATACCGTAAAGAAGGCCGCGTTTATCATAAATCCAAGATTTTGGTTGAGGCGTTTAATAGAGGGTGGCGTTTAATACAAAATGGCAAGTTTGTCAAACGAAAAATGACAAGAAAAATACGATGAAAAAAAGATAAAAACAGACCTTAAACAATGTTTTCTTTTCCCAAAAGCACGTAAAAAAGATTGTGTGAAAATTTTTTTAAAGTTTACGAAAGATATGTTATGGAAATGTCAAGGAATTTCAATATTCCTGCTTCGTCAGAGTCCTCGTCTCTATGAGATTAAAACTTTCATGGCTTTCGAATAGTAAGCGTATAAACGATTCGTTGATTATTGTTTGGTGTGTTTTCTAATAAACGCCGCTTTTCAAGATGCGGCATTTAACAGAGAGGGCGGTATTTATCAGAGGGCGGCGTTCATTAGAGAAAAGACGGTTTCCAGGGGCGAAAATCCGGGAAGGGGGGGGGGGTGAAAATGCCCAAAGTCTTCCAGGGCAGCTGCCTTATTTGCACACGAGCACGTTAAGTTGCACACGAGCGCGTTGGTTAAGTTGCGTCGGCTTTCAATAAAATGAGACCACACGAATCAATTTAAGTTGCAATTCTTTTCATGTATGTAGCCGAAAAATATGACGTGCAATGTAAGCTTTATTACAAAGCAAAATCAAATTTGACACTTAATTTACGCTCATGTAGATAAACAGATATTGCATAGGCAGTTAAGTTTCAAATTTGTTTTTATTGCGTAGAAATTTATAATTGGTAAAGACAAATGTACATTGGTAAAGCTTTCACCAGTATTCTACAGGCAAACCTTTGCTTTGAGGTCTGCAGGGCAGAAACCCTTTTCACCCCCCCCCCAAAACCTATTGGTCTAGTTACGCTCCTGACGGTATCTCTTAATCAGATCAAAATATTCAGACTCTAAGCAATGATCAAATGAATATATCCCATCTACATCTGTGACGTAAAAAAAAGTTTCTTACGCTGAATATGAGCTTGTCCAGAACTCGATTGATTAAAAACGTTTGCTCCTCAAGCTGCGCTTGTGAATCGATTTCACTTTCATGTTCCTTTAAGTACCAGTTTACGACGTCAGTTCTTCGGATTGCTGATTCCTCTAAAAAACAAACAAAGCTAGCATTGCCAAAAGCTCTTTAATACCAATTGGTATCCACCGTTTTTTTGTATGGAAACTTGCTTAATCCGAATACAAACAAGGAAACTAGCTTCCTTATCACCTCTTGCTTAGCAAAGCAATATAAAATCTTGAACAGGCACGCCCCATTTCAAAGTTGGTATCTCTACATCGTTACTTAAATGGGAAGATAGAGTGAGCATCTGTATCGTAGAGGCATGCCAATTCTACATTTGTGTCTAGGCTCCTGTCTCAATAACTATGTTCACGGTAGAGCTTTACATATTTGAGATGACGTAATTCTTTCATGCAACGATATATTCATCATTAATGGAATTTCTATGACTCTACAATTAAAAAAAATTGAAGTCGACGTCGCTTTTGCGCCATCATGAAAGCCCTCACCGTCGTCAGTTTTGTCTTCTTCATTTCTCATATAAGATACAATGGAATTTGCAATTATCATGTACTGCTCATATTTCAGCTTTAATTTGCGTTTCTGGGCAGGTTCACTTGACTTGGCGTGAGAGTCTCCATTAGGGATATCGCCATTCACCTGGGCGGCCTGTGGCTGCTCTGTATCTTCGTCTACTTCCATATCTAAATTCAATGAAACAGGAAAAATTTTTAGTCTGTTTTACAATCTGAATGAGTAAATATTCTAGGAAAAATCTCAGTAAGACGCTTCTTAGGAAATTCATGAATGAAACCCATATTTTATAAAACAGGAAAATTTTTGTAGAATAATGAAAACGGGTGGGGTCACATTCCTTCTCGTATTACTTTCGATCCGAACGCGGATAGAGTCACGTCGCCACTTATGAAACGATTTCAGTAAAAATTGTTTTCCCCCGCTTTTTAGTATTTCCTAATAAAATAAACGTACTACAAAAACATTATTTGTTGCACAATCTACATGCTTGCGTAAAGACAGTCTTATAGGCTTTTCTATCTTTCTCATAAGATAAAATTCGTCACCTGCTGAAGAGCGGGGATGGTTTCCGTATCTCATCGTAGTCAATATCATTCTCGTTCACACCCAAACAATTTCCCTCCTACAATCTCTAATTCACAAACAGGAACGCTCCCTATTCCCTCGTAAGAATAGATTATCTTTGGGTATCAAAGAGAGGACAACACAGCAAGAAATATTTAACTGACATCTTTTCAAAATTTTAACGGTGGGCACTTAAATTAGTCTGGTTGTATCTGCTTGCTCCGGAATGCGCAATTCCTTCATTTGTTACACTTGTGACTCGACCTGATAGTGCAAAAAAATCTGAATGCATTGTTACCTTGACCATCTTGTTCATCGAACTGAATGTCTGGTGTTTCAACTCTTATGATTGATTTATTGAGCAGTCTGAATGCTTCTTTAACGTGCTTTGGTTGTACCTGTGTAATTAAATAACATCCAAATGAACTGAAAATTACATAACCAATTCCTAAGTTCTTTACAGATATTATATAGCAAAGCAGCAGATAGCAATAATAAAAACCAAAAAATATTAACAGGAGCCAATAAATAGGTGAGTTCAAAACAAGAATTCTTGTAGACAATATGCTAATTAATAATATTGCACTTTAGTGAAGGTGCTCTTGGTCCACCATTGAGACCAAATTCTCTGGAACTCTAACTGTAAAAATTAAAGTTAGCTTTATTTTCACTATGTTAGCCTTCACAAAAACTCAAGTTATGTGTTGCAGTATAGACAGAATTTTCTTCAGCTTTATTGAGCTTAGAGCTATTGGAAATAGTATATGTATATATGAGGGCGATATATGAGGGCGATATATGAGGGCGATATATGAGGGCGATATATGAGGGCGATATATGAGGGCGATATATGAGGGCAATAAATGAGGGCGATATATAAAGACACTATATCAGGGGCGGACACTTGGTCAAATATTGGGGGGGGGGGGCAAGCCTATTGTTTTAATAAGATGATCTCACATTTCCCATTGTTTTAAGACCATTGAAATAAAATGAAAGAAATAAAAGACCATTGTCCTCTAAAGTATCGCCGCCCCCCCCCCAAGGTGTCCGCCACTGCACTATATGTCCCGAAGAACTCTCTTAGACCATCTAAATTTCCTTTTGTTGGACTATACAATAAACTATTGCGTTTTCCAATCGCCAACGCAGTACTCATTTTCAACGTTTTCTCTGTTGAAACGCGCTCGAATGCCTCTTGTGCTAGCCCTTAACAGTGGACTGACGGGGCACGGTGCCTTTGAAAATAATGGAGAAGAGTTGGAAAAAGTTATTATTGTACCTCGTCTTGGCAGTGTAGCCGCGCTAATGCCTCCGACAACCTTATCATACTCTCTAACTGCCGGACTGTTATTCGCCATGAAGACTTTGAAATGCCATTAATGTCCCTTTGTCGCAATGCCTTGTACTGTTCAACTATAAAATCTTGACTTTCTTTGTTTATCTAGAAAAAAAAATATCGTCAGCAGTGACAGGATGGGTATGGAATCTGGAATGCAAAGTTTTTAGTGCATTAGCAGCTAATTCCAGCTATTACAAACATTAGTCACATTGTAGTAAATATAACTTTACTTCAAACGTTAAACATAAAATATACTAATGAATCTTAAAAGAGGATCAAAATGCTCAAACACACCGTGGGCTTGAAGAGTCTTGCAAATGTCAAGTAACGTTGAATCTCATCCTAAAACCAAACAAATGATAATTTAGTTCTAAATCTTTTAATCGTATAATTCTTTTAAGATCTTATGTCTTCCAAAAGACCTTAAGTTCCAATTAAATATATATACAAGGGAAAAACTGTTGAATACTGTAGCTAGGAATAGTTATGTTAAAAAAGTTACATATTACGGAGGCCTTTCAAGTTCATGGGCTCCGACAAAGGTTGAAAAATGGGGGGGGCCAAGGGAAAATTTAACACCCATAACAAAAGATTTTGAAAAAACTCTATTGTTTTGCAAAAAAGTGGAAAAAGGTTGAAAAGTGGGGGGCCAAGGCCCCCCCCCCCCTTCGTCGGGGGCCCTGCAGTTGTAGTGGGAACAAGGGAATCTGCCGTTGATATGT